GCATTATGACAATGAGTTCTCTAAGACATAATCCTAATAGATGTTAATGATGATGAATGTATGAAGGCCGATGTATGCATGTTACCTAGGATAATGTGTGGATGATGTATAAGGTTGTGTCATAAAAATGATTTAAAGATAAAGTTATAGGGACCTCATGCATATTGTGTGTTCATATACACGTTACTTCCTCTATTCACCTTGTTGTTGACTCATGCAAATACCTTTCGAATGAAGGCCGCTCCCAGAGCGACATGAGACCGAGCATGAATCCCACAGTATGAATTTTCCATAAAGCGTAAAAAAGAAAACGATGTATCTCATATACCTTTTTCCTCTCACTAAGTATTTTAGACGGTTGGGTATACTCGTTACTTAGGTATATTCTGGTTAATTAAATATAACCTAAGTCTACGTGAATTTTCCAAAAAAAAAAAAACTTACATCACTCATGCATGCTCATCAAACTGGGCTAACTAAGCTCAAGTATTAGCCTGATCTTCAGGTAGCAGGTGTTCCGTAAACCGTCAACTTAAGTACCTTCAGCCTTAGACAAGATCGTGTCAGGTGAGCTTCGTTGTGACTGCAATTTTACAAGGCATCGACCTATTTTAACCATAAAAATTGATCGTGTTGGTTCTTAACCCTAAATGAGCATGCACTTATTATCGATTTTAATATTTATCCCATTTTATGACGTTGAAAATAACCTATAACATGCTTTATATAACAATTATATAATCATCCATTTCATGCAATAATATAACAATTTATATCTATCACTCATGGAATCCTAAATATGCATACTATACATTATAACGTTTATAACATACTTAGTAATGCATGAAACATGCTTAGCCTATGGTGGGATTTTAAATCTATATGACATACTTTATACATTTTCTATTTAATTAAAACATACATTCACGATGCATAATTAATTAAACACACTAGAATGGACTAGTTTTGGCATTTTAAAACCATCAATTAACTAAATTATTATATTAATAATTAAAAAATAACACGATCCACTCCCTCAAGCCTGCCACAGGCCGGGTTGGATCAGGAAGCAAAAATTCTTCCTTCTTCTTCGGTTTAGCTTGCCATCATTTCCATTATCGATCAATTACAACCTAAAATGAACTCTAATGACTTCATAAAAATTACATAACTTTTTCATACACATTAGGCCAATTACAATAATGGTATCAAATGGGAGCATAAAAAAAATGCCAAAACCATAAACCTCCACCATTTTCATTCATGAAATGGTAACAACTCATGCTCAAATTAATGTAGATAAATTGCCTAAAACTTGCTCCGATATCAATTGATGGTGTTAATATAACACATGCGGAAGCAATTTGGATCTTAGGCACTCTAAGTACATCAATTATACTAAATTAGCTCGCATGTTCATAAGCATTAAAACTCAAGGAGTTAGAGTACTAACCTTTTGTAGTTCAAATTCCTTTTTTCCCACAAATCGGTTTCGAACCACCACTAGTGTCTTCTCTACTATTCTCCGGCCTTAAAATGAGATTGTCGAATTCGGTGAGTGACTAAACTTGGAAGGGATTTAGTATATGTGAAGAGAGAGTTTGTGAGGGATTTTCTCACTGTTTTTACAACCAGCCTATCCATGTAACTTGATCACTTTATTTATAGAGTCATATTTGCATGTTCATGCAAATCTGAGATTACCAGATTTTGACATTCAAAATTCCACTCAAATTTGTGGGGTTTATTTGACAAATGTAAGTTTCGTTAAACCAAAATTCCACACTTCACTCAAAATTTCACCAGATTCAAACATGGATTTTTACATGGAAGTAAACATTTTGACTTTCTCCATTTTAATTCAACAATTAAGTTAAATAATTAATTTTAAAGTAGAGTAATATTAAATTATTAATTAAATAATTTAATTAATATTTAATATTAATTCAAATGTCAATCACACGCCTATTCATAATTAAATATTTAAATCTTATTTAAATATTTCTGATTCTCTCTTTTTGTTTAATTTGTAAATAAAACAAAAATGCGGTTAAATATATCGTATATATTTAGCCATATTCCCTAGTTTGAATTCGAAATAACTCGTCACATTGTTCTATGGTTTAGTCCGATATGAGCTAGCAGAGGGACCTAATAGACCTATAGATCATAGGCTCCAACGATCCGAGATTAACCTTGTTAACCAACATTCGTTAACTACTAGGACACTCCACTATAGCCTAGTAGTTGCACTCTCCTCACTATAAATATCTGTTCATTTGATATAACCATGATTAGTAAGTCGATCCTTCACAGGTTGTTTATAACTAGAGATGGGTCAATTTACCGTTTTACCCATGAAGTTACTTCTTGTTCCTTATGTCGCACTGATCCTCTAATGAACAATTGGTTTGTGGTCAAACCAGTAAACCGAATCTCTCTTAGGTCAATGAGAGGGTGGGGCCCCTTGTTCAAGACCTGGAGTTAGTACTGAAAGGAACAACCTCTCTACTATCCCTAAAAGTGGGTAGGAGATAATTCCATCTTGCACCCTATGTCCCCAGCTATTCACCTAGGCTTACCCCTAAAATGGGAGGCTTATTGAGTCGGTGAACTCGAGCCACTCTCACCCCATGCAAATCTAAGGATAATTTCGAATAAATAGGAGTTCATGGTTAGCTCAGGATTAAGATCAAGTTACCTAGGTCCCTCGAATGAAAAAATCAGCCTCAACAGTAAACGACATTATAAAGTGAGAGTGATTTTCTTCATGGTCTGATCTTATGCAATACTCATGGCATAGGACGCCCCCACTCACATGTCTCCGCATGTACAATTTAGTGATCACATTGTTTATAACATATATAAAAGTGGGCCGCATCCATAGTGTCCCCAGAATAAGGTACTCAACCTTATCCCTGTACTGTGGATCATTTTGACTATATACTTGAACTTGATCCACTCTTATGTCTCTACGTTCAAGTAATCATACTATAGTCAAGAGTGTTTCTAGTTTATTAGATTTAGATTAATAGTCATAAAATTCACTTTATTCAATAACAATCTTTACTGAATAAACATCGATAATAACTTTATTGAAAATATAATATATTTTTGTTTACAAACTATGAGTTTTAGGACAGAAAACCCGACATAGACCTGCTGGTTGGGCTAGCTCATCTGAGCTGTAACCGAACACCTAGAGGTAACAATGACCATCGTGCACCATTCTAAGCATGAGGGTCATTTTAGTGTTATAGTATATGGGTTCGTACTCATCATAAAAGGAAAGTATCCTGATGCACGTGAACATTCAATTATGCATCAGACCCCATATTTTTCATTGCAAATAAACGTCAATTCCTCACATGTTATATTAGTAAAATGCATACATAATTTCATTAATAACATAACTTTCAAATCATAGATAAGGGGTTGTGCATCGTAAAATTCCTTATTTCAAAACACATCATGGCATGTCATAACATATCATGGCGTAACATATTCATATCATAGTACGTCATGACACATAACATAATTTAACATTTCATTGGTACCATAATGTTATTTGGCATATCATGACGTATCATATAGCGACACATAATCATATCATCAAACATATCACACAAACGTCATGTGTAGGGCCACTGGCACGTGTCATCATACATAAAGCAATTCTTCCAACCAAATCAATACTAGAGCCACTTATGCAAAGACGCTTCACCCTATTAGAAATATTCACCTAATTTCTTCAGTAATTCCAATTCCTAACTTAATTTAACTTAAATTGAGAAAACAAGAATTATACTGTCCTTAAATCCTTTTAATAAGGTCAAAATCAGTTCCGAGAGGGTAAAAATTATAAGTATCGATATCAAATATACCAACCCGAGTGTTTACGCCGCTTTCAAATCGTTGGAGCTGCCGAGACGAAGCCGCGACATCAATCGAGCCGCTGAGTAAGCCAAGAGGAGACACGCGTCACGCACGTGCAAGGGAGGCTAGAGGCACGCATAGGTTCTCGAGCGGGTTGCGTCATGTCGCTCAGACGCATGAGTCACGGATTGCGTGCATCTACTGGCCGCGTGTCGTGTAGTGGATCTGGGTCCAAGCTTAGCTACTTACTGAGTATTATATATTCAATCAAGTTCCTTGCTATTTTCAGGTAATAATTAGATGAAGGTCCATGACGTGAGAGGTTTGGAGTTGCTTACTATTTGAAAGTCCGGTTGTTTCAAGTAAAATATGAATATATAATTTTTTAAATATTTTGAATATATATTTAAATATATTAATAATATATTAGACGTTCTTTTAATAATATTTTAAGTATATTGATAATATATTAATCACCGATCAATATTCATTTGAGGTAAACTCGTGAATATATCATTTTAGTAATATTTTAATTAAATCAATAATATATGAGTCGAACATAATAATAATAATAATAATAATATTCTTATTATTATTATTATTATTTTTGTAATATTTCAAATATAACAAATATCAATCACGACTTATTTAACCAAGAATACAGAGTGTTTCACTTTATTAATATTTTATGCATCAATTGTTTAATATTATTTCTCTTTCTTTTATAATTATTTTAAATTACGAAAAAAAAAAAGTATTTTAGGTTGAAATATAATTAATTAATTCAAATTATAATTATAATTAATAATAATAAATAGAATGCAACGAATTTATATCTGAATCAATTAATTTTATTAAAATTCTTTATTTAAAGATAATTATTAAGATTTATTATAAAAATAAACTAGAAAATTAAATTAAAATAAAATTAGTTAAAATTATTTTAATAATTTAATTTAATAAAAATAAAATAGTGAACAACACTATTTAAAATTAAATAATATAATAAAATTATTGAAAATAATGACGTATTATATTCTTAGATATTCTTTTACCAAATAATATTAAAATAATTTTATTTATAATAATACTGAAAAAATGTGGAGAGGCCTGCCTTGTGCGTTATCTGGAAAAGACCAAATCAAAACACGCTAACCAGCTTTTCGCCGCACAACGGAATGAACGAAAAGTATAAGCTTTGGGAAAGTGTCGGTTCTTCGTTTTCTGTTGCATCTCTGTTCTCGCCTTCCTTCCATTCCCACGCAATCCTTTCCAATTCCCATTTTAAAGAATCCATTTCACAGTTGTTGTTCATTCTTTTTCCCCTTTCCTCGCAGATTTCCGTAATCTCAATCCTTTTCCCTTTTCGATTCTCCCACCGGGAAGCATAACACTTTTAAGGTCAGTGTTAGAACTTTCAATCCCTTTCCCTTTACGTTTCCTACCGTATTTTCCTTCAATTTTTGTTATCTCCGGCTTTTTTCTTGGATTCTTACTCATGAATTTACCGCCGGCTAAGAATTAGGGTCTTATTCCTTTCAGATGGTTCGGTTTTGATATTTGTTGTTAAATCCGCTCTTCGTTTGTAAATGTGCTTCAGTTTCGATTCTCGAATCTATTTTTCTCTATTTTTTTTTTTTTTGGTGCAATTGTCTGTTTTACGAGTTTACTTGTGCAACAATGGATAATGGACTCTGTTTTTGCTGGATGAATTATTTGTCAAAGTGAAATCATGAAATTGAAGCAATTGCCCTTTTGGATGATATGTGGCGCTTGCTTTTCTAAATCTCAGTTATTGGACCAATTCAAAGCAATCAATAAGGATTTATTGTTGTATCTTCCCAATAAGCAATCAATTAGAGTTTACTTTTACTTCTAATACTTACCATCAATTTTTTTTTTGGTGGGCTTTGTGGTGGGACCAGTGCTCGCTACTGTTTTTCAACCACATCATAATTCGAAGTCGTCATAGGAAAAATTATAAGGATTTATTGTTTTTGTTAATCATTTCAGGGCCTTGCAACTGAGAAGGTAAGGGATGTTTTAGACCTTGAGTTTCTGATTTTTCTGACTTTATTTAGTAGTGATTTTTGGTGAGTGTTGCTTCAATCTTCTGCACCATTTCCCGTTGTTAAGCATATGCGTTGACTTTCTCCCGCAAGAATGCTTCTCTCTTGATTGCAAAAGAAGTTTCTTGAATCTGTCTGGATTATTTATGTCTTTTTTCAATGTTACAATATTTGTTCATCTCCTTGCTTTAACTGTGTTTTGGCTTCCCTTTTTCGTGTAGATTTGTAATTTTTTGGTTGTTATATGTTTTAATTATGAAGCCATTCGACAGATAATCCAAGGAATTTCCTATTTGTATTAGAGTTTTGGATTCTAGGGCGTTTATGGGAACATAATTCGTTATTTTCTTCAAGTCTCTCGGTGACCTATAAGGCTTCTGCTGAGTTCTTTTCGTATTGCAAATTGGCGTATGATAACATCTAATAATATAATGGCTAGTGGTGCTTTATGGGCTGACTTTTTTCCTTAAGATGAAGTTCCATATTCATCTGCTGTATATGGATCTAACATGAATATTCTCTTATGATCATCTAATTTTAAAGATTTGATATAGTGTCTTTGGCTTTGAATTTTTTTTTTTTTTTTTTTTTTTTGAAGATGAAGTTTCTGATTTCAATCTGAGCTTATAATTTAGGAGGTTTTGATCTTTTAACATCAAGAGGATAAGACTATGTTTTTCCTTCACATGCGCCAAGAAACTGACCCAAAGGAGAGCTTTACCTCCTCCAGAATTTTTAACATCCATCTTTAGTTGTTTTGATTTTATTTTTATCAGTTAAACTTTGGGAGTAGGTTTTTATTAGCTCTGTAGTTCATAAGTTGCATAGACGTATATTCGCAAGTGAATTTATTCTCCTGGATTTTCCATGAAGATACTTAGCTGGAATATGAGGGGTCTGGGCGAGATACAAAAGGCATTTTGTTTGGTGAGATGATATATTAGATTACAGAATGTCTGGTGGAGGCTGTGGGAGTGGGGGTATGGGAATGAGAAACATCAGGGAGTTTAACGAGGCTCTCCAGGTTAAATGACTTTTGAGATTTCCCAAGGAGAAGACTGAGCTTTGCTGTGAAGGTGTTTGAAGCAAATTTGAATACGACCCCTCCCGGTGGGAGTGAGGTGATGAAAAATGCAAGTTTTTCCATTTCATGGTGGTTACTTTCTGAAGTTAGACTATCAGTTGAGATGCTTTCAACTTTGAGGCGAGGCATGGGGACAACTATCTCATCCTGGGATAATCAGTGCACTGAGAAATGGACTATGAAAAAATTGTTTTACTGAGTTTTTGGAACGGCAACAGGATAAGAAGGATATGTAAAGGAGTCTTAGGATAAAGAAATAAATTCATGGCATATAACTTGAAAGGAGGAATTTGTCTACAAGGCTTTGCTTGGAAAGCTGACAGATTTAAGATTAAGACCACTTGTAGAAATTAATGAAAAAGGAAAATTTTTTAGAGGAAAGGTTAGAAAATTGGTTTGAAAGGAGGTTCCAAAGAAGGTGAAAGTTTTCTTATGGACTTGCCGTTTACAAGCTCTTAATGCAGCAGAGAAGATGCCGAAAAAATTTCTCCCAAAATCATATTCTGTTCAACAAGGAGTTCAGGACAAATTGCTACTGAATGATTTTGAATCTCCTGAATGTGTTTAACAACTCAGTAAAGAGCGTATGCTATGGCAGGAGTTTGTTGAAAAAAGATGTAGATGGACATTGTATGAGAAAATCTCTTTAAAGCAATATGGGAGTTAAAGATGGAAAAAAGATTCAATAATTTTTGTACGTAAGGAAAGAAATGGGGAGATGTAGGTGAAAAGGCTAAATTTGGTACCTTTTTTGGTGCAAATTACACAAATTGTTTAGTAATGAAACCCTGTTTGTGATGAACTTTAATTGCATTTTTTGGTAATTTCTATATCATTGAAAAGTTTTCTTTTCTTGTTTCAAAAAGATGATCCAGTACAAAGTGCTGCATTTCCTAAAATATTAAGCAGGGACATCTGTTTTTCTAGTTCCCTACATGAACATGGTTTTGTAAATTTCATGTTCCACAATGTTCTATTTTCTTGGGAACTTAAATATCAGCACATTATAATTCAATCAACAGTTCTCTCCTCTGCCCTTGTCCTCCCTTACTAGAACAGCGGTAATAAAAGGAGGCCTGGAATGTTTTGACGGTAAACCTAGGACTTTTAGCGGTATTACATGTATAGTCTGTTGGAAAACAGCTAAAACCACAGCCAATTAGGACGAGGAAAAGATTTCTTCCTAACCTATGCAGTTGTGCCTATGCCTTCCAAGCCAAGTGTCTTCCATTGTTCCTGTTCCAGCCTCTCCAACATGAGAAGTCCTTCACATTTTTCCATCTTCATGTCCAGCTTCTGTCGGATGTCATAAATCTGAAAATCGCCAACGCCCTCCCCCCCCCCCCCCCCCCCCCCCC